TCAGATGTGTCGCTGGTGAAGATTTTCTCCCATTCTGTGGGTTTTCTGTTTGCTTCCTTGGTTGTCTCCTTTGATGTACAGAAGCTTTTTAGTTTAATGAGGTCCCATTTGTTAATTCTTGCCCTTATTTCCTGGGCAGTTCGTGTCCAGTTTAGAAAGTCCTTTCCTACACGTATATCTTGTAGGTTTTTCCCAATGTTTTCTTCTAAGAGTTTCAGAGTTTCAGGCTTTACATTGAGGTCTTTGAGCCATTTGCAATTGACTTTTGTGCACACTGAAAGAGAGGGGTTTAGTTTCATTCTTCTACAAGTGGAGATCCAGTTTTGCCAGCACCATTTGCTGAACATGCTGACTTTCCTCCAGTTAATGTTCTTGGCCCCTTTGTCAAATATCAGGTGGCTAAAATTGCAGTTACTCTTATTTCCGTCTTCAATTTTGTTCCATTGATCTATGGGTCTATTTCTGTGCCAGTACCATATTGTTTTTATGACTATAGCTCTGTAATATAGCTTAAAACCTGGTATAGTAATCCCCCCCACCCCGGCATTGCTCTTAGTGCCAGGGTTGCTTTGGCTATCCGAGGTCTTTTGTGCTTCCATATGAATCTTAGGGTGGTTTTTTCAATTCTGTGAAAAATGTCATGGGGATTTTGATTGGCATTGCATTGAATCTATAAATGACTTTTGGTAGGATGGTCATTTTCACAATATTAATTCTTCTAAACCATAAGCATGGGAGATCTTTCCATCTTCTGATGTCTTCCTCCATCTTTCTTTAAAGATTTAAAATTTTCATTGTAGAGCTCTTTAATGTCTGTGGTCAGGTTTATTCCAAGATATTTTATGGTTTTTTGCAGCTATTGTGAAGGGGAGTGTTTCCATGTGCTCTTTCTCTGACTGCTTGTTATTAGTCTATAGAAAGGCTACAGACTTCTGTAGGTTAATTTTGTAACCTGCCACTTTACTGAACATGCTAATCATTTCTAGGAGTTTCCGGGTGGAATTTTTGGCATCTCTTAGATATAGTATCATATCATCTGCAAAAAGGGGATACTTTGATCTTTTCTTTTCCAATGATTACTCATTTAATTTCTTTCTCTTGTCTTATTGCTCTTGCAAGAGTTTGCATAGTTGCAAGCTCTATGTTAAAGAGGAGTGGAGATAGTGGAAAGCCTTGTCTGGTTCCTGATTTCAATAGGAATGTTTCCATTTTTTCTCCATTTAGAAAAATGTTGGCTGTTGGTTTGTTATATATGGCTTTAATTATGTTGAGGTATGTTACCTCCAGTCCAATTCCCCCTAGGACATTGAACACAAATGCATGTTGAATTTTGTCAAAGGCCTTCTCTGTATCTATTGAGATGACCATGTGGTTCTTGTCTTTGAGCCCATTTATATGATTTATGATGTTTATTGACTTAT